CAATCAAAGAGTTATCTGTCAAAGCAATTCGCTTCTTATTGATTTTGCCATAACCACATTTGTAGATCAGTTCATTTACTGACTTCAGGTTTGGGTACCCCCATGCATATGGGGGTATATGGTTCCACAATTCTCAGCATGTTAATTGAGGCCTTGTTGAATTTAACAAAGGTGCCATTGAAGATCTGGCGAAGATGAAGAAGCTGCAACACCTTTCGAACCTTTGGGCTCACTCCATTGATACCTCTGATCCTGATGACAAATGCCAGTTTGGGTTCTGCAGGTACATAGAAGTTGCCAGCTTTTCTTGCCATCCTGGCCATGCAAATCTCAGTTCTGTACATCTGTCTATATTCCTTATGATAGTGCTTAGCTTTTTCATAGATAAGCTTCCTCCTTGCCTTTCAAAGCATCTTTTGAGCAAACTTCTTTCTCAGGTGCTTGATCTTCAACTCCGCAAAATTCCTTCGCTTTTTAAGGGTTTCTGGCGCAGCAGGAACCTTTTTCTAGGTGGCGTCCGTGGCAGCAGGAGCCTTTTTCTTGGTTTCTGCCGCAGCAGGAACCTTTTTCTTCTCTTGAATGCCCTCCATGGTTCCAGCCCCATATTTTTATTTTTAACTCATATAGTGAAAATTAAGCAATTTTAGTTTCTTCTTTTAATATAATTTTGTTTCCTGTGTGAGATAAGAGGTGGGCAACCTCTTTGGAACCCCCAAAACATGATCCTCCACAACCCTAGCCAGGACTAACAGTCTTACAAGCACTTCTAAAGTGTTGAAGTATAACTGGGACAGGAACCTGGCACCCTCCCACATGGGTCTGCAGCATCCTACTGCAGTGCCTCTACTGTATGTCCTACCACAGCTGGACCTATCTCTTTTAATGCAGTCACTTCCGATGGAAACAAGAGCTGCCCAATAACACAAATAAGATTATATATATTCTCTACTCCTTCTTTAAAGGTCCATGAAAGCACCTTTGACTTGGGTTAGATTTTTGTTGTTTTGTTTTTAAGAGATTTTTGTTATAGGGTGTTATGCCCTCACCAGAGAGAGACAGAAAGCGAAAAATCACCTACCATAAACTCATCTGAATATATTTAAGCTCCTGAGAATCACAAGAAGGGGACCAGCAGTTGGTGTAATGCCAATGTCGCCGGACTCCCATGTAGTCAACCGTGGCTCAAGTCCTGGACCTGGTGGCTTAAACTCACGCTGGGCACATGTGCATGTGTGCCCAAGATCCTAAGAGGAGAATGGAGAAGGGATTGTGGCATGGCCATCCCCCCCACCCCCCACCCCGGGGGTGATTTCTTGCTTTCTGTCTCTGTCTCTCTGTCTTTCTGGCGAGCATATGTGCCCTATAGCAAAAACCTCTCAAAAAAGAAAAAAAGAAAAAAAAAGAACCACAAAAAATGGGGCCAGCAGGTGGTATGTATGGTGGTTAAGGGTGCTGAACTCCAATGTAGTCGACAGTGGTTCGAGTCCTCAACCTGGCGACTTGCTTTCTTACTTTTCTCTCTCTCTTTGTACCTTTCTGGTCAAATTAAATAAGTGAGTGAATAAATAAATAAAGTTGAATAATTCTTTTAAAAAATTTTTAAGAAGAACCGTAAAAAAGGTTTATAAAATATAGAAAACACTAAAATGCAGACAAAAACAAGTATGTCAAAGTTATCAAGCTGAGTCCTTAATAACTAAACAATTGTGGGACCAACAGTTAGCATAATGGCTATGTTGCTGAACTCCCATGTAGTCGACCGTGATTCGAGTCCCGGACCCAGTGGCTTAAACTCACTCTGGGTGCATGTGTGTGCGTGCCCAAGATCCCGAGAGAAGAATGGAGAAGGGACTGCAGCGTGGCCATCTCCCTGGGGGTTGATTTCTCGCTTTCTTTCTCTCTGTCTGTCTCCTTCTGGTGAGCACATGTGCCCTATAGCAAAAACCTCTCCAATAAATAAAAAGTAACTGAGCCATTGTATTAATGAGGTATACACCTTTACTGCCTTGAGAAAAGAATCAGTGACATGTGGCTTCCTGTTGGAAGTTCTAAAATATGTGAGAGAGATGTGCTTGGAACTTCATTCTTTGTAGGAAAATAACATCACTAACAGCCCATGTATTCTCCCATGCAAATGCACTTTTTAAAAAAAGTTTTTGCTATAGGGTGGCATGCACTGAATAGACAGACAGACAGAAAACAAGAAATCACCCTCCTGGGGGGATGGCCATGCTGCAAATCCTTGTCCATTCTCCTCTTGGGATTTTGGGCATGCATGCATATGTGCTTGATGTGAGTTGTGAGCCACTGTGTCCAGGACTTGAACCACAGCTGACTATGTGGGAGTTCAGTGATGAAACCATTATGCTATCTGCTGGTCCCGCACTTGGAGTTTCTTTTAATTGATGCAAAGTGTGAAATAAATATATGTATATGTGGTTTTGGGCAGTTTGTTTTAGTATAATCTTTTACTCTTGATCTGACTGTAGAAATTAATCATTATAAACTAGTATTTTATCAAAGAATATTACATTTTTACTGTTTATTCCCACTCTGTTACAACAACAAAATTAATTTTCAGTATAAAGAATCAGTCCACTGGAACCTATATTATTGTTCATAGTATGTAAAATATGCAAATTGACTGACATAGAAGAAAATACATTTCTTCCAAGACTCAAAAGAGTGCCAAGGGAACCAGCAGTTAGCATAATGGATATGTCACTGGACTCCCACGAAGTCGACCGTGGTTCGCATCCCGGACCCAGTGGCTTAAAACTCATGCCAGGCGTGTGTGCGTGCGTGCCCAGGATCCTGGGAGGAGAATGGAGGAGAAGAGATTGCGGCGTGACCATCCCCCCTGGGGGGTGATTTCTCGCTTTCTGTCTCTATGTCTCTCTCTCTGTCTGTCTGGCGAGTGCATGCGCCCTATAGTGAAAAAAAACCTCTCCAAAAAAAAAATAAAAAAGAGTGCCAACAATTTCATATTTTGTCATTTTATTATAAATAATTCCAAATGAGTTATCAAGAAAACTAACCAAATTTGACAAGCCTTCCAAAAAAGTCTTGGGATATATCCACCAATAAACAATAAAACGTCAGAAAAGCTATCATATATTGGGCAAAGAATCAGGCTAATACCAAAATCAACATACAACATTATAAAAGATACAATTTAGAGCCAGCCTCAGAGCCTAGTGGTTAAAGGAGTCAAATCCCAGATGACCCTATGAGGTTAGGATACTGATCTTAGTGACTTGAAAAATACCTTGGAAATGTGTGCAGGTGTGCTCAAAATCCCAACTAAAGAAAAAAAGAAGGGATTCCTGTGTGACCATTCCCCATTGGGGTTGTTCTTGCTCTCTCTTGCTCCCCATCAAGCATTCTGAGAATTAAAAAACAAAAACATAAAATCTAAAAGAAGTCAATCTGCTGACTATAAAAACCAGTCTTGGGCCAGCAGATGATGTGGAGGTTGAGGTGGCTTGATCCCACATGGCTGACTCCTTAGTTTGAGTTCTGGACCAGCAACCTGAAAAACATGCTGGGCACATTGTGTGTGTGTCTAAAATCTCAAGAGGACAATGAAGAGACTGCTGCATGGCCATCTCTCTTGGGGTTTTATTTCTAACTTTCCTTCTCTCTTTCTCTGTCTCCCTGGCAAGTGCACACGCCCTATAGCAAAAATTAAAAACAAGCAAACAAACAAACAAACACCCTAAAACTTAATATGAACTCTGAGACCAAGACAAAGCAAAGCAGCTAAGTTTGGCCAAGGAAGCCAGGAGTAATGGGGGAAAAATACGTTTCTCCATGGAAGAGAGTTGAATAGTGTCCTGCATTTCCATGGCTGGTACAAGTAGTCTTAAAAGATCTTTCAACAAGGGAAATAAATAAATACAATGGAATGCTACATTTGTAAACCAGCTGACTATCCCAGGAATGAGAAATGTTAACAGTAAAGTAGCAAGAGGTTAACTTCAAAACATTCATTGTGGTCTCAAAAAATATTCAAAAGGCATTTATTTAAAAGTGTCACAATAGCTATGTCCAGACAGGGAGGCTGACAGGAAGTGAAATGAAGAGGACACTTTTTCCCCCAAGAATTTGTTTAAATCAAGCATGTTGCTATGTAGCAACACTACACCTTGTAAACAATAATTGGCAACAATGTAAATTCCAACAGTAGAATATTCTGCCCAAACCAGTCCCAGAAACTGCTTAATTACCAAGATGGAAACTAACCATGTCCTTAAGAAGGCTAGACCAATTTTATCCCACATGTCCTTGGTTAGATGTCCAGTTTCACTTAACGTTTTGTAAGCTCATTTGACAGCCAGTCAAGCCCCTCATACAGACCAGTTCCTTGTGTAGCACAAGTGGCTTGTACATACCACTGTAAAAAAAGGGCAAGAAAATAATTAACATAAGACTATATATAACCAGTTTAAACTTTCTCAATTAAAAAATATTCAAAGGCTATTACTGAATCAACATTTAATGTAAATATATTAGAAAAAGAAGCAAAAAATTAATATATTACAAAACAATAACAAATGTGTTAAAAGTATCTCACAAATAAATGATTAATTTTATATTTAATGATCTTAGTAACTATAGGTCACTCAAAATTATTTACACTTTGGGAGTCTTCTCACACATCTTGCTTCTCACAAAACTGCTCTCACATTTGAAGCTACTTTAGTCAACCTTCAATCACTTACTCTGAAAAGATCCATGGTGAAATTAGTAACTACGAAACTACCTACGTGCTTTTTATAACCCTCTTTTTTTCTATATAACTAAGTTCAAAGTAGAAGCAAATTTTTTAAAAGAATGATTTATTTAATTAATTGCATTTGCTATTATTATTTTTTAATTTGACCAGAGAGCGAGCTAGTAAGCAAGCCATCAGGTCCGGGATTCAAGCCACAGTTAGCCATGGGGAAATCCAGCGCCTTTAATCATCACACCACCTGCTGGAACTGGAGGTAAATCTTTTAAAGAACAGAGTTCTTTTTTTTTTTTTTGAGAGGTTTTTTGCTATAGGGTGCATGTGCTCTCCAGAAAGACTGAGAGAGACAGAAAGCGAGAAATCACCCCCTAGGAGGGGATGGCCACCCTGCAATTCCTTCTCCTCTATTCTCCTCTCAGGATCTTGGGCACACATGCATTCATGCCTGACGTGAGTTTAAACCACCAGGTCCAAGACTCGAACCGCGGTCGACTACATGCAAGTACAGCGACATAGCCATTATACCAACTGCTGGTCCCTAGAGTTTGTTCATATTTTAAAAACAAGCTTTTCAGTAATTTTACTATCCTTAGTTTCATGCATTCCAAAAAGCTCCACCTTATTTCATGGTAATGAAACTTATCTCCATAACTACAAAATATAATAAAATAGTGTAAGTATATAGGGCAAAAACTGTAGAAAATAATTTAATTACTTTTATAGGATATTATCTTTAATATCAGTTTTATTTTGTGTTAGAATAAAAACCTTCCATTAATGTTGCATGGCCACTGCAGTATACTAGGCTGCCAATTATTATTACACTGAATACCAAACACTTGGTAACTTATAAACCTGGGAAAAGACATGAATTCATACTTTCATAGCATGGAAAACTTGGAGTATTTATAGTTTATCTTGTTTAAATCAGCCTGTAGCATCTCATCATATGAGATTTATTTTGTTTTGTTTTCCTTAGCACAGCATTTGCCTTTTTGACAAGTTAATGCTAAACTTTATAAGGCACATGACAACAGTTTGTGACTTTTATATATAAAATAGTCTGTGTATTGCCAGTATCTCAACCATTGGTCTATGCTATCTTTTTTAAAAAGATTATTTCATTTAACTTTATTTATTTTATTTTAATTTGACCAGAGAGGGACAGAGTGTGAGAGAGAGAAAGAGAAAAAAAGTCAAAAAGCAAGCTGCCAGGTCTGGGACTCGAACCATGGTCAGCCATGTGGGAATCCAGTGCCCTTAACCATCGCGCCACCTGCCAGCCCCTATACTAAGTTATTTAAGAGCAAGTACAATATCTCTTAAAATGTTTATTCAAAATGTGTTTGATATCAGAGATCCTTCTATAAGCTTTTGATATAACAAGCAAAACAGATAACTGCCAAATCACTGGACCTTAGTTAAAAAAAAAAAACAAAAAACCCCACACACGACAAAATATTTCCTTTAGGGGGCCAGCAGGTGGTATAGTGGTTGGGGAGCTGGACACTCCCAGATGGCCAACCACAGTTTGAATTCCAGACCCGGTGGCTTACTTTCTCACTTTCCCTCTCTCTCTCGCTGTGTTTCTCGCTGGTCAAAATAAAATAAATGAATGAATAAATAAAATAAAATGAATAATTAAAAATAATTAACTTTAAAGGTATTTAAAAGATATAAAATTAAAATTAATATCAATAATCTTAAGATATTCCAATTCTCTTACAGTAGCTTCTTTTTTTTTTTTTTGAGAGGTTGTTTTGCTATAGGGTGCCTGCACTCGCCAGACAGACAGAGAGAGACATAGAGACAGAAAGCGAGAAATCACCCCCCAAGGGGGATGGCCACGCCACAATCCCTTCTCCTCCATTCTCCTCTCAGGATCTTGGGCACGCACGCATATGCGCCCACCATGTCTTAAGCCACCGGGTCCGGGATGCGAACCGCGGTCGACTATGTGGGAGTCCAGCGACACAGCCATTACGCTAACTGCTGGTCCCTCTTACAGTAGCTTCTCACATCTCATCAATACTAAAGACAAAGACAACAAAAATCAAATTACATAAAGATATTTAAACCCTTGGGTTCTTAAAGGATGTACTACAATTTTTTTTAATGAAGAAGATAACAAGTTTAAGTAAAATTGAACACAACATTAATAAAGATTTGAAATAAAGCCAGAAAGGGTTAAACTATGTACAGAAAAAGGGTATACTACCATCATTTCTTATATAAATGGTGCGCTCAGTATGTGTTCAAGAGGGATAATAAATGTTTAAACAAAAATACTAAACCATTATTTTAATAACTCTAATAGTCAGCAGGCTAAAATCAACCTCCAAATACTTACAGTTCTGTTGCAAAGAGACTGAAGACCCAATTTATCTGTCATTTCGCTGATGGTCATAGCATTCGGCAAATCCTGTTTGTTAGCAAAAAGCAGCAGCACTGCATCTCGCAACTCATCTTCCTGAAGCTGCAAATAAAACCGAAGGCATTAACAACTGCTAAACTGGGACCCAATTACTGCAAGAATCTGGATAAGGCATTGTCTTCTTGCATATACTTTTTATTTGGTATTAAATAAATGATTAAACAGCAACCAAATTTCCATACATTAAGTTCAGGTTCTCTTACAATTTAAATCTCTTCTCGGGGGACCAGCAGTTAGCATAATGGCTATGTTGCTGGACTCTCACATAGTAGACAGCGGTTCAAGTCCCGGACCCGGTGGCTTAAACTCACGCCGAGCGCGTGTGCGTGCGTGCCCAAGATCCCGAGAGGAGACTGGAGGAGAAGGGATTGCGGCGCGGCCATCCCCTCTGGGGGGGGATTTCTGTCTTTCTATCTCTCTGTCGCTGTCTGTCAGGTGAGCGCACACGCCCTATAGCTAAAACCTCTCCAAAAAAATTGAAAAATAAATAAATAAATAAATCTCTTCTCTTTCAGGTTTTAAATACTAAGCAATCACATGCCTTCAAGTAAAGCAAAACTGTTTTTCAAGCGGATCATCTTATAGTCCTTAACGTAATTCACTCATCCAGCCCCCACGATTAGATTAATTAGATAATTATGAGTCAGAGAGACAAGGGTCAAAGACAAGGCAGGGCAAAAATACAAATAGTGTTTATGGCAGGATTTTATGGTACTTAGTAGCAAAAGTACTAGCTGATGATTCTTTGTGGACTTTTATACTTTTCAGCCAGCTTGGTCAGACAACACAGGGACAACACCATGTTTATTAGGGCAATAGGAATATCATGAAAATCCAAGAGGCATGCCAAGAAAAGAAGCTGGTAGGAGTAAGTCCTGATACTTGATTCAACATGAATGAACCTTGAAAAATTATGCTAAATTTAGGGAACCAGCAGTTAGCGCAATGTCTATGTTGCTGGACTCCCACGTAGTCGACCGCGGTTCGCGTCCCGGACCCGGTGGCTTAAAACTCACACCGGGCGCATGTGCGTGCGTGCCCAAGATCCCAAGAGGAGAATGGAGGAGAAGGGATTGTGGCATGACCATCCCCCCTGGGGGGTGATTTCTCACTTTCTGTGTCTATGTCTCTCTGTCTATCTGGCGAGCACACGCGCCCTATAGCAAAAACCTCTCCAAAAAATAAAAAAATTATGCTAAATTTAAAAAAGCTAGTCACACATATGTTTTCATTTATATGAATGTGATTATGTATAGAGAGAAAAAAGATGACTAGTGGTTGTCAGGGAATGTGCAGAAGGTAGGTATAGAGAGTGCTAATGTTTCAGCATTTCTGTTTGGGATGATGAAAACTTTCTAATATTAGATTGCGGTGATGGCTGTACAGATTTGTATACTAAAGAGACAGATAACTGTATTTTTAGTATATAATGGGTGAAATTTATGGTAAAAGAATATCTGAATAAGGCTGTTTATTTAAAAAAAGAGTAGAGGCTGGTGTCTGAGTCATTAGGCAAACAGCCGCAGTGACTTCAGTACACGTACACTATATTGGCACAATGGTTTTAGGAACAACATGTGAGAATTGAAGTTTCATTTCATAAATATTTTATGGTTATAAATTTAAAACTATCACAAGATTCCTTAACAATTTTTCTCCCTTCAGAATTTTCAACAATATGAAAACAATCAGATAAATGAGAAGGCCAAATCCAACTATCGACTAATTGCCACTACTCCTAGGAGGAATCCTTGGTCATTGTTGATATTAGCAAACATTTCTGAAGTAATTATAGGTACAACATAGAGAAAAGTGAGGCTGATAATCTTGGAAATAAGATTAAAACCATGATTTAAACATCAAAACTGCTTTAACTACAGATTTTATATCTGGTTTTAAGAAAAGAAAGAGAGAGAGAGACTGGACTTAATCAGGTGTTCTCAACCTGACATATGCACTCATGGGGCATTTTATCAATAAACACAAGGCCCCAAAATCCCAGAAGGAAACAGGATTGTGGTGTGGTCATGCACCCTGGTGGACAATTTTTCATTTTCCCTTTCTCTTTCATGCGAGTGCATGCACCCTGTAGAAAAAAAACTTTAAAAAGAGAGAGAGAGAGGGGCCAGCAGTTAGTGTAATGGCTATGTCGTTGGACTCCCATGTAGTCGACCGTGGTTTTAGTCCTGGACCCAGTGGCTTAAAACTCACACCAGGCATGTGTGCGTGCATGCCCAAGATCCTGAGAGGAGAACGGAGGAGAAGGGACTGTGGCATGTCTATCTCCCCGGGGGGTGATTTCTCGCTTTCTGTCTCTCTATCTCTGTCTGTCTGTCTGGCGAGCACATGCGCCCTATAACAAAAAAAAAAGAAAAGAAAAAAAGAAAAAAGAGAGAGAAAACATTAAAATCTGCTATAAAGCTTTTAATTTACTTAAGCTTTCTGCCATAAGGCATATGTGCTTGCTGGATTGGGGGGTAGGGGAGAGAGACCGTGATAGGGAAAGTAAGAAATCACCCTCCAGGGGGAAAGGCCATACCAGATCCCTTCTCCTCCAGTCTCCTCTAGGGATTTTGGGCCTGCATGCACACACTCCTGGCATGATTTTCAAGCCACCGGATCTGGGGCTCAAACTACAGTCAGCCATGTAGGAGTTCAGCACCTTAACCACACCACCTGCTGACCCCAATGTGCATTCCAAAAACCTACGGATGATACAGTTTCTAAAGGTTCTTTCTAGCTCTAAGAAATTGATTTGTATTATCTAATGATAATTAAAATATACCAATCATTAACACCACCAATGTTACCAAGAAAATCCTATCTTGAAAATGATCAATTTAAAGTATATGCTTACCATTTCATGCAGCTCTTTTGCTGCTTCTTGAATTCTTTCACGATCATTGCTATCTACAACAAAAATAAGAGAAAATCCTATCTTGAAAATGATCAATTTAAAGTATATGCTTACCATTTCATGCAGCTCTTTTGCTGCTTCTTGAATTCTTTCACGATCATTGCTATCTACAACAAAAATAAGAGAAAATCCTATCTTGAAAATGATCAATTTAAAGTATATGCTTACCATTTCATGCAGCTCTTTTGCTGCTTCTTGAATTCTTTCACGATCATTGCTATCTACAACAAAAATAAGAGAAAATCCTATCTTGAAAATGATCAATTTAAAGTATATGCTTACCATTTCATGCAGCTCTTTTGCTGCTTCTTGAATTCTTTCACGATCATTGCTATCTACAACAAAAATAAGAGAAAATCCTATCTTGAAAATGATCAATTTAAAGTATATGCTTACCATTTCATGCAGCTCTTTTGCTGCTTCTTGAATTCTTTCACGATCATTGCTATCTACAACAAAAATAAGAGAAAATCCTATCTTGAAAATGATCAATTTAAAGTATATGCTTACCATTTCATGCAGCTCTTTTGCTGCTTCTTGAATTCTTTCACGATCATTGCTATCTACAACAAAAATAAGAGAAAATCCTATCTTGAAAATGATCAATTTAAAGTATATGCTTACCATTTCATGCAGCTCTTTTGCTGCTTCTTGAATTCTTTCACGATCATTGCTATCTACAACAAAAATAAGAGAAAATCCTATCTTGAAAATGATCAATTTAAAGTATATGCTTACCATTTCATGCAGCTCTTTTGCTGCTTCTTGAATTCTTTCACGATCATTGCTATCTACAACAAAAATAAGAGAAAATCCTATCTTGAAAATGATCAATTTAAAGTATATGCTTACCATTTCATGCAGCTCTTTTGCTGCTTCTTGAATTCTTTCACGATCATTGCTATCTACAACAAAAATAAGAGAAAATCCTATCTTGAAAATGATCAATTTAAAGTATATGCTTACCATTTCATGCAGCTCTTTTGCTGCTTCTTGAATTCTTTCACGATCATTGCTATCTACAACAAAAATAAGAGAAAATCCTATCTTGAAAATGATCAATTTAAAGTATATGCTTACCATTTCATGCAGCTCTTTTGCTGCTTCTTGAATTCTTTCACGATCATTGCTATCTACAACAAAAATAAGAGAAAATCCTATCTTGAAAATGATCAATTTAAAGTATATGCTTACCATTTCATGCAGCTCTTTTGCTGCTTCTTGAATTCTTTCACGATCATTGCTATCTACAACAAAAATAAGAGAAAATCCTATCTTGAAAATGATCAATTTAAAGTATATGCTTACCATTTCATGCAGCTCTTTTGCTGCTTCTTGAATTCTTTCACGATCATTGCTATCTACAACAAAAATAAGAGAAAATCCTATCTTGAAAATGATCAATTTAAAGTATATGCTTACCATTTCATGCAGCTCTTTTGCTGCTTCTTGAATTCTTTCACGATCATTGCTATCTACAACAAAAATAAGAGAAAATCCTATCTTGAAAATGATCAATTTAAAGTATATGCTTACCATTTCATGCAGCTCTTTTGCTGCTTCTTGAATTCTTTCACGATCATTGCTATCTACAACAAAAATAAGAGAAAATCCTATCTTGAAAATGATCAATTTAAAGTATATGCTTACCATTTCATGCAGCTCTTTTGCTGCTTCTTGAATTCTTTCACGATCATTGCTATCTACAACAAAAATAAGACCCTAGGGAAAAATTATTTTAATTAATGATAACAGTTAAAAGACTTAGTAAATGAAACATAGGCAGCAAAACAGGTATCAGCAATTAGACATCAAGAAGGAAACATATCTTTATTTAAAAAAAATAAATAAACCCCAGAGCTCTATAGTGATATCTGATTTGAGTACTATTTGTGATTTTGTCTTATTAATGTTATTACAAACCTAAAAAAAAGTACTCTTAATCAACTTTTCTCAACTATGGCTAGAATAGATTTTTCCCCTACTCACTGCACTAGCATATTTGAATGCATAAGCATAAAAAGCAAAATTGCCATACCATTGGAACAAAGAATAAACCAAAGATCCTAAAGAATTATGAATTTACTAACTGAAGAGACAGAAGAGTGACCATGTCCCAGCAGGATATGATTTTTCTCCCTCCTCCCTGCCCTTTTTTTAACTCTTTTTTTTTTTTTTTTTGAGAGTTTTTTGCTATAGGGCATGTACGCTCACCAGAAAAACAGAGAGAGACAGAGACAGAACGCGAGAAATCACCCTCCAGGGAGAATGGCCATGCCGCAATCCCTTCTCCTCCATTCTCCTCTCGGGATCTTGGGCACGCACGCACATGCGCCTGGCATGAATTTAAGCCACCGAGTCCAGGACCCGAACCATGGTCAACTACATGGGAGTCCAGCAACATAGCCATTACAATCCAACTGCTGGTCCCTCCCTCTCCCCCTTTTTCTCACCTTCTCTCTCCTAGGTGAGTGCATATGCCTACTTGCAATTCAAAAAATTGTATCCTTAATATCTTTAAGTATTAGAATTATATGCTATACCAGAAATGGAACTGGGCAGCAATGAGTCAAATTAAAAAATCTTTTTAATGGGAGAGTATAAAAATTTCAGCCAGACCAACCACAGTTTGAGTCTGGGATCTAGAGTCTTAAAACTCCAGGCATGTGTGCTTGAGTGCCAAAATCATGAGAGGAGAAAGATGGTATTGTGGTGTGGTCATCCCTTCTGGGGGGTGATTTCTCACTTTATGTCTCTGTTTTACCAGCAAGCGCATGCACTCTGTAGCAAAAATCTCTAAAACAAACAAAATTTCAGCCAGAAAAAGAGGAAGCAGATTAATTTGATCACTTTGTTAAATATTCTCCTTCCTGTAAGATTAAATTATTTGACTAAATTATTATTAAGACTAAATTTTTATTTGTCACGTATCACAGACTGTCTTCATATAGATTTGTATTTTGACTTATTTACATAAAAAACTACACTGAGGACCAGCAGGTGACATGGAAGTTAAGGTGGCTATCTCCCACATAGCCCATTATGTGGTTCATGTCTCAGACTTGGCAGCTTGAAAAATATGGGAGCCATGTGTATGCATGCCCAATTCCCAAGAAAAGAGTGTAGAGAGAATTATGGAATCGCCATCCCCTCTGGGGGTTAATTTCTCATTTTCCCTCTCTCTATCTCTCTCTGGGGGCACATGAATCCTATAGCAAAACTAAAAACCAAAAAACTACATTGAATTCACTGTGGGCAAAAGGCTATCTCACACATTTTTTATTTGTCCTTTGGAATTACCACAGAAATGGGTTTGCCAGGGACAACTAAACACTTAATTTTAGGTTACAGCCATTAAATTATATAATTTCCTTTGGTCTATCAAATTCCAAATCCATTTCTTTCATCTCTGTTGGAAATCATTGCTTTTAAATATCTCGCCCTTTGAAAAACCTTTTGGTGTTACTAAAGCCACTACAAAATGGTGCAACAGACCCAAATTCAAATCCCAGCACTTCCTCTCTCTTTTATTTATATTTATATATACACACACACACTTCACACTTCTAATCATTCAAGATGACTGCTTATGAAATAAAACTATGTTTGGAGGTTCTAGCAGGGGAGCACAGCTACTCATATACCCTTGACTGAAGAACAGACCTCCTCTATCAGGGATGGTCGTCCCCTTTGACCAAGCAGGCAGCTTTGGGAGGGATGCACATGGAGCGGTGAGAGGAAGGGGGTACCTGCCCAGTTAGCCAGATCAGCCAAATCAAGCCTGGTGATCAATGGGGTGTCAGATGTCACAGCCAGATCACCCTTACATCCAAAATTACAAGGAAAACTATGAAATAAAAATATCACCAACTTTATAAGCCTGTTAAAGATGAAATGTAATCACAGAAGTGTAGAAGGATCTATCACTGTACTTGGCTCATGACAAGCATTTAACAAAGCTACTGGGTTGTCAGAAAAGTCAAAATGAATTCATAAACACATTAAAAAAATTATGTGGGGACCAGCAGGTGGCATGATGGTTAAGGCACTGGATACTCCCAAATGGCCAACCACAATTTGAGTCCTGGGCCTGGTGGCTTGCTTTCTCACTTTCTCCCTCCCTCTCTCTCTGTCTCTCTCAATGGTCAAATTAAAATGAATGAATGACGGGAACCAGCAGTTAGCGTATTGGCTATGTCGCTGGACTCCCACGTAGTCAACCGTGGTTCGTGTCCTGGACCCAGTGGCTTAAAACTCACGCTGGGCGCGTGTGCGTGTGTGCCCAAGATCCCGAGAGGTGAATGGAGGAGAATGGAGGAGAAGGGATTGCAGCGTGACCATCCCCCCTGGGGGGTGATTTCTCGCTTTCTGTCTCTATGTCTCTCTCTGTCTGGCG